GGTAACCAGCTCCTCTCCCATACATACTTCCAGCGACGGGGGAGGGAGACCGACTGTCTCTGCTCCCAATACAGAGTCCTGCTGCTGGGGAAAGGAGACTGGGCTCTCTATTCCCGGTAGGACACTCTGTCGCTGGGGAATGGAGACTGGGCTCCCAATTCCCTGCAATATCTCCCGCTGGGGAATGGAGACTAGGCTCCCAATTCCCTGCATATCACACTGCCGCTGGGGATCTGAGCCGACTGCCCAGAATCCCTGTAGCTCACCCTGCCACTGGGGAGGGAGGACGCTGCTCTCCTCTCCCTGCAAGGTACACTGCCGCTGGGGGACAGAACCACTTGTCTCTGCCCCCCCAATATCTGCCGCTAGGGAATGGAGACTGGGCTCCCAATTCCCTGTATATCACACTGCCGCTGGGGATCTGAGCCGACCGCCCAGCATCCCTGTAGCTCACCTTGCCGCTGGGAAGGGAGGACGCTGCTCTCCTCTCCCTGCAAGGTACACTGCCGCTGGGGAGGGGAGACGATGCTCTCCACTCCCTGCACTTCACACTGCCGCTGGGGAAAGGAGACATGGCTCTCTATTCCCTGTAAATCAGTCTGCCGCTGGGGAACTGGGCTGACCGCTCAGCATCCCTGTAGGGCCGGTGAAGAGACCTCAGTCCCATCTCCACCTGCCGCTTGGGGTTCCTCCCATTAAAGCTCTACAATATCTTCCCAGCTGAAGGGGTCTGGATCTGGGTCTGTCACCTTGCTGTCCTGCTGAGCCTTCCCAATGGAGTGGATGAGATCTCGGTAGTCCTGCTCCAGTTCCCACTCCAGGGTTGCTAGGTGAGCCAGGTCTTGCTCTACCTCATGGGGGTCATCCCAGTCATGCCTAGCCTCCCTCTCGTAGAAAATGTCCTGAAGTCTGGTCTGCGCAGGGCTCCCAAAGTCAGGCTCTGCAAAGGACTCCCATGACAAGCCAGAGACCAATCTCGCCACAGACACACAAAAGCCCACCAAAATAGCCAGTGCCCCAAAAGTGTCCCCAACAACCTTAGGAATCCCAAACAAGTACATTTCCCAGACCATTCTCCGTTCGTGAGGCACCCATGTGAACACCCGACAAGGGAAGCGTCTCCTTTCAAGATACAAATGCTCCCCCTGGTTGGCATTCGTCTATACGAAATAGCGGCCACCCAGGGGAGCACTCATTAATTACTTCCCTTGCGGTTTCACTTTATGTTGCTGGTGTGAACATTCTAAGTAATTGGGATGAACATTCTAATGGGGCACCTGGGTGGTCCCCGTTCGGGAGACGAATAGGTTCTGTTCGTATGGACACTCCTGAACGGGAAAACAAGGCACAGCACACGAAATACAAGGGGAAACACACAATACAAGTGGGAAAACAGATGAATAAACAATGGTTCTGCCACGGTGACTCTCACTAGAACAGCCTGACTGTGAAGTGTGTACTATGTACGTATCCACTCGTTGCTACAAAGGTTGGATGTAGCCATGGCAGTCTTAATAACTAATCTAGAAGACTGGATGGTCTCAAAAACTGATGTAGAAGACTGGATGGAGTCTGGGTGGTCTCAATAACTGGTCCAGAATAATGGATGGAGTCATGGCAGTCTGAATAACTGATGTAGAAGACTGGATGGAGTCAGGGCGGTCTCAAAAACTGATTCAGAAGTCTGGATGGTGTCTGGGTGGTCTCAATAACTAATCCAGAAGACTAGATGGGGTCCAGGTGACTTTTAAAAAAATATTCCTGGTCTTGGAGGATGTGTCACTATATCACCAGGCCCAACGCACTGAGCTAAGGTGGAAATAGAAATGGACAGAGGATTATTAGCGGGCTTTAAAGTTGACTGACTTAATACTAAGAAAGACTAATAATAACCTGCACAACAGGTTAAAGAACAATGCAATGTAACAAGAATGGATAAAATTGGCCAGAATCAAGGATTACAGAATGGAGAATGGTCAAGGACAACCAAAGTCCAAACACCAGGACTTTTTGGATCACCACAGAGAAACCATGACATGGCAAAGCAGAGAATGCAGTGAGGGCTTAAATAGGGCTAGGAATTCTGTGGCTGGTCGGCTTCATTTCTCTAATGCCAAATGGTGCAAGGTTGATGGTGCAGAAATGACACAGGTAGGTGAGCATTGGTAGTGATACAAGGAGTTTCAGCTTCTTAAAATTCAGGCTTGTTGTGACGCCAGAATCATGTGGGGCACCTCTATGTAACCATGAAGGATGGACGCACTCTAAAGTTGTTGTGGACTCTTATTATGGGATGTCTCTAGGAATGTTATGGGAATTATGGGGATATTATGGGATGTCTCTAGGAATGTTCCCAGATAGACTCTGGGAGATAGCATGAACTCTAGCAGTGGTCTAGGACTGAACGACTCTGTATGTTAGTTTGGCCTCTAGGAGTGGTCCAGGACTGATGGATTGTGTATGTTGGTCCGGCCTCTAGGAGTGGTCCAGGACTGATAGACTCTGTATGTTAGCGTGGCTTCTAGGAGTGATCCAGGACTGATGGACTACTATCCTAGCAATCTTCTTTTCTACTCCTTACCTTTTGTGTCACTATACCCCACTCCATCCAGCATGTAAGTTCATAGAGCAGGGCCCTCAATCTCTCCGTTCCTGTGTGTCCATCTGTCTGGTTACAAATACTTGTCTGTTAGTCCACCCATTCTACGCGCCATAGAACTTGCTGGCGCTTTATAAAAAATAATAATAATAATAATAATAATATGTTAGTCTTGCCTCTAGGAGTGGTCCAGGACTGATGGACTATGTATGTTAGTGTGGCCTCTAGGAGTGGTCCAGGACTGATGGACTATGTATGTTAGTGTGGCCTCTAGGAGTGGTCCAGGACTGATGGACTGTGTATGTTAGTCTGGCCTCTAGTTGTGGTCCAGGACTGATGGACTGTGTATGTTCGCATAGTCTCTATGAGTTGTGCAGGACTGATGGGATGTGTATGTTAGTCTGGCCTCTAGGAGTGGCACAGGAATGATGGACTGTGTATGTTAGCACGGCCTCTAGAAGTGGTCCAGAACTGATGGACTATGTATGTTAGCACGGCGTCTAGGAGTGGTCCAGGAATGATGGACTGTGTATGTTAGTCTGGCCTCTAGGAGTGGACCAGGACTGTTGGACTGTGTATGTTAGCATGGCCTCTAGGAGTGGTCCAGGACTGATGAAATGTGTATGTTAGTCTGGCCTCTAGGAGTGGTCCAGGACTGATGGACTGTGTGTGTTAGCATGGCCTCTAGGAGTGGTCCAGGACTGATGGACTGTGTGTGTCCAGGAGTGGTCCAGGACTGATGGACTGTGCATGTTAGCATGGCCTCTAGGAGTGGTCCAGGACTGATGGACTGTGTATGTTAGTCTGGTCTCTAGGAGTGGACCAGGACTGTTGGACTGTGTATGTTAGCATGGCCTCTAGGAGTGGTCCAGGACTGATGAAATGTGTATGTTAGTCTGGCCTCTAGGAGTGGTCCAGGACTGATGGACTGTGTGTGTTAGCATGGCCTCTAGGAGTGGTCCAGGACTGATGGACTGTGTGAGTCCAGGAGTGGTCCAGGACTGATGGACTGTGTGTGTTAGCATGGCCTCTAGGAGTGGTCCAGGACTGATGGAATGTGCATGTTAGTCTGGCCTCTAGGAGTGATCCAGGACTGATGGACTGTGTATGTTAGTCTGGTCTCTAGTAGTGGTCCAAGACTGATGGATTGTGTATGTTAGTCTGGTCTCTAGTAGTGGTCCAGGACTCATGTAATGTGTATGTTAGCACGGCCTCTAGGAGTGATCCAGGACTGATGGACTGTGTATGTTAACATGGTCTCTAGGAGTGGTCCAGGACTCATGAAATGTGTATATTAACATGGCCTCTAGTAGTGGTCCAGGACTCATGGAATGTGTATGTTAGCATGGCCTCTAGGAGTGATCCATGTTAGCATTTAGAAATTGGTTCGGGATGGACAGACTCTAGGAGTCTGAGTTTTTATGGCATCCCTCTGAGGCAGTCCCCTAAGAATGTGAGCAAAGTAAACACAGCATTACCTTTATGTTCAGTTTTGCAGTGATTCAAGAATGGAAAGGATAGTATTATACTGAGAACATTGACTACACTATCTTTGGAAAATAAGAATTTAAGGAGCACAATAGAAGCAGTGGAACATAGCACATTTTTTTTCCACCCAACATGTTATTATCTTCCCTGAATCACCTCAGGGAACTTCTTAAAAAAATGTTTACATAATAAACACTGGGCGGACCTGTGCAAGAGCCGTTCAATCAGAGAGCACAAACTAACATAACAGGCAGCTCTGACACTTACCAAAAATAAACCAGGCACGCCTCCACCAGCTCACCTTTGCAAAACAGTATTTAAATCCCAGGTGATACCCAGGTCTGATACCAGATAACATCTCAGCAGGATAAAGAACCATATCTGCCATGTTTGCATTAAGGGGAATCCCTGTTCTCTACATGCCAAAATTGGCATCACCATAAAGCAGAGGTAATTCCTAATAAACAGAGAATAAATCACATTCCAGTTTGCTGAACCTACAAACACAATATCCTGGACTCACAGAGATGTGTCATTATTCAGAGACATGTCCGCTCAGTGGGAAGAGAAGTGTGTTGGACACTGGGAGTTTTGAACCTCCTACCAGGAGCACTACACCTGGTAGAGGCTTTGATTCAAGGTCCACTTGGAGGGTAAGCCATACACCCCGAATTAAAAGAAGGATGAAGAAAACAATAAGAGTGATGTATCCAGCTCAAGTGAGGAAATACCTGCCCCCCAAAGAGAAGGACACAGCCAGAAGGTGGCTCTTCTTACTAGGAGTTATTGTCCTGTTTCAGGTCTGTACAGAAACTACTAGAGAAGGTGACATTGACTTTGACCATGAATCTCTGTTTTATGAAAGAGAGCTCAATACATTAATGCAGAACAATGTCACTGACACCCAGTTCTTCTACGATCCCAGCAGCCAGGGAATGGTGAATGGGACATGCATCATACACACCTCACATTGCTTCATCCTTGGGAACTTTGATTTTCCAGTCAGTCCTCCATCCCTGATTCCATTTACTAAGCTTGGACCAGTGGCAAGGCTCTCACCAACTCAGCAGTGTGACAGTAACCCATGCATTCAAGGGTCCACCACCAGACTCCGAGCTATGCACTATGTTGTGAGCCGGAAAGGAGAAGATTGAGTCTGGAAAGTATATCCTAGAAGATGAACGCTCTCAATACTGTAACTGATAAAAAGTTACAAGGGATCGAAGCCTCAGCAATGAATGTGGGGCTCCAGCGATCAGGACCCAAGAACCAGAGGTGACTCTTGAAAAAAAAGTCTCAGGAGCGAAGAAAGGGTCAGTTTGCATTGAAAGAGTGATACAAGTTATCTTAAAGACATGACTGTAATAACTTAACATGTGCATGTAGACAGAGATCCGTGTGGGTCTACAAGATGCATCGTTACAGTATCAGCATCACATGCCTGCAGCATATTGAAAGCCTGTGAGATGTAATGTGAATCTACAGGCAACATGATCACTATTACGTATGTATACCTGTATATATTACCTGTGTAATGTTAACTGCAAATGGAACATGTATATTACTTGTATATATGATATGTATATTACCTGTACATATTAACCTGTGTAATGTTACCTGTATATACTGCCTGTGTGTTTGTTTATGTATGTATGTGTATATATATATATAGTATATTACCTGTGTATATATAACATGTATATTACCTGTACCCGTTACCTGTATATATTACCTCCATATGTTACCTGTATATTTTACCTGTATACCTATGCATATAAATAAATCATTTTAACAGTTCAAACAGCATGAATCATTGATAAGTTCAGAATTTTAGCCACTGGCAGAAAAGTTTAATTCTGCCCAAATAAGACAAAAATCTGTATTACCGCTTGCAGAAAACCCAACACAGACAGACAGAAAAAAGCATGAGACGGACCAAAAAAAATGTAGACAGTGATACACAGATGCAGACAGACAGAGATGCAGAGAGAGAGAGATGCAGACAGACACATAGAAAGAGAGAGACTCTGACAGACAGAGCGACACTAACTTACAGAGAGTGATGTTGACAGACAGAGAGAGAGAGATGCTGACAGACACAGAGAGAGATGCTGACAGACAGAGAGATGCTGACAGACAGAGAGAGATGCTGACTGACAGAGAGAGATGCTGACTGACAGAGAGAGATGCTGACTGACAGAGAGAGAGAGATGCTGACAGACATAGAGAGAGAGAGATGCTGACAGACATAGAGAGAGAGATATGCTGACAGACATAGAGAGAGATAGATGCTGACAGACAGAGAGAGAGAGATGCCGACAGACAGAGAGAGAGAGATGCCGACAGACAGAGAGAGATAGATGCTGACAGACAGAGAGAGATGCTGACTGACAGAGAGAGATGCTGACTGACAGAGAGAGATGCTGACTGACAGAGAGATACTAACAAACAGAGAGATGCTGACAGAGACACACTGTTAGACAGAGATGCTGACAGGAAGACAAAGGTCCAGCTCAGAGAAGCCTGCTGTAAGGCCTGTCTCATATTAATCGTTTGTGATGACAAAAATGCCATAAAATTGCCACAGCTGACAGTAGAAGTGCAATAAAAACCCAATGCTGTCAGGGTGTTATTAAGGGATTTACTGTGTTATATAGAAACATTATACAATAGTATTCACAACTGTTTGCGCAATGCAACAGTTTACAAGGTATGGCTCATCCTCCAGAATCTAAGGGTTAAAAGTGTGAATGCAGTTAAATTCTTTTAAAATACTCCATCTCCTAACCTTTCACACACTTTTCAACCCCCCTCTGTGCCTCCCACATTCTAATACCCTTTTATGCCCCCAGACCTTCCAATCCCCCTCTGTGTCCCTCTACACACCTTTGAACCCCCCTTTGTGTCCGCCACACCTTCCAGTCCCCTCTGTGTCCCCCACACCTTCAATCCCACTCTGTGCCCACACACTTTCCAACCCCTCCCTGTCCCACCCACACCTTCCAACTCTCATCTGTGCCCCCCACATTCTAAAGGGGTATTAGAATGTGGGGGCGCCACTGTGTCCCTCTACACATATTATAACCCCCCTCTGTGTCCCCAACCCCTCCCTGCCCCCCACACCTTCCATCCCTCTCTTTGCCGCTCACACCTTTCAACCCCATTCTGTGTCCCCAACACCTTCCATCCCCCTCTGTGCCCCCTACACGTTTCAACCCTCTCTTTGTCCCCACACCTTTCATCTCCCTCTATGCCCAACCCCTCTCTGTCCCCCCCACACCTTACAACCCTCTTCTGTGCCCCCCACATTCTAATACCCCTTTATTCCCCCCACACCTTCCAATCACCCAGTGTCCCCCTACACACCTTTCAACCTCCTTCTGTGTCCCCCCACACCTTCCAACCCGCCTCTGTGCCACCCACACCTTCCAGCCCCTCCTGTCCCCTCCACGCCTTCCAACCCCCATCTGTGCCCCCTACACCTTCTATTCCCCCTCTAAGTCTGTCACACCTTCCAACCCCTTCTGTGTCCCGCACACTCCTTCTAAACCCCCCTATGTGCCTCCCCACATCTTCCAACTTCTTCTGTGTCCCGTACACACTTTTCGATCCTCCTCTGTGCTCAACACACCTTCCAATTCCCCTCTGTGCCCCCCCCACCTTCCAAACCCCCACTGTGTCCCTTTACAACTTCCAATATAACTCTGTTTCCCCCCACACCTTCCAATCCCTCACTGTGCCCCCCAAACCATTCAATCCCCCTCTGTGCCCCCCACAATCACCCAATCCCCTCTGTGTCCACACACACACCTTCCAACCCCCTCTATGTCCTCTCCACACCTTCCAATTCTCCTCTGTGTGCAAACGTACCCCGTCCCCCACACCGTTCAATACCCCTCTCTGCCCCGCCCCTCCCCACTCACAAACATCTTCCAATCCCTCTCTGTGTCCTCCACACACTTTGGACAAAGTGGACATAGAGGGACACTTTAATATTAGCAGTGGGAGTGGGGGTGTGGCCAGGGGCAGGGCTGTTCTTAGTGTGATTGGGGATGTCGTCAGGGGTGGGACTTACTAAATAATAATTTATACAACTAAAATGTAACTTAGAACAAGAACAATGTATCTGATTTACACAGACTGATTTCTAAACCCATTTATTGTAGTTTAAAGACACATTACTGGGAGTATTATTGCTGTGGAGCTCTGTTATACACTCAGACACATTACTGGGAGTATTATTGCTGTGGAGCTCTGTTATACACTCAGACACATTACTGGGAGTATTATTGCTGTGGAGCTCTGCTATACACTCAGACACATTACTGGGAGTATTATTGCTGTGGAGCTCTGTTATACACTCAGACACATTACTGGGAGTATTGCTGTGGAGCTCTGTTATACACTCAGACACATTACTGGGAGTATTATTACTGTGGAGCTCTGTTATACACTCAGACAAACCAACAGTATGGAGCGCTGGGGAAAAAGGAAACAGAGAGATTTGGGCCCAAAATAGGGACTTTCCCTCCTAAAGAGTATTCTTGGGAGTTGTACAATCCTCCCCTGTGCCTCCTATATACCTTCTAAACCACCTTTGTGTCCCCTTCTGAACTTTCCAAACTCCCTCTGTGTCCCCCCAGACGACTTCCAATCGCCCTCCACTCTATACACTTTCCAATTAGTACAAATCTTGTTTAATTTCCCTACTTACAGCCCCTCCATTTCCCTTTATTTATTTTACTGACATTTATAAAGCGCCAACATATTCCGTAGTGCTGTACAATTGGGAAAAAGACAATACAGTGTAAACAGACCAATATAAAAGGTAGAGGACCCTGTCCTTGAGCTTACAATCTAAAGGTTTGTTTTTATACTGTGCCACCTCAACCCCTTCCATGCTCTCAGTGCCCCCTCTTCCCACTTGCATCCTATAGTCCAGTGATAAACTGTCTGCACCATGTCAAGCATTGAACGCAGCATGTCAAGACACGTTTGGCTCCCGTTGCCATTGTGCAGAATTATTATACAAATCATTTAAACACCTACATTCTGCCCGTCTTATCTGCTTTCCATATTCATAATGCTTGGTTCATGGCGAGCGGCTTGCCACGTACTCAATTTCCAAAACCCAGGATATCCTATTATCTGCACATAAATAATCTACGACCGCCGCAAAAGTAAACCATTAATAGTATTAGTTAGAAGGCACCGACATATTCTGCAGCAAAGTACAACTGAGAGCCCTAAGAGCCATGTTCATAGGGCACAGTCTGGGTTATTTATTAATCTCCTAACTATATCGGAATAAAATCTAAGCGGTAAAAGTGAACAAATATATCCAAACTGTAACGGATGTGACTGATTCTTCTGAATCCGTAAACCGGTTTTCCTATATTTTGCTATTCGGGTTTTCTAAATGCTACAATTTAGTCCTTCTTTATGTCAGTCACTATATATATACTGGATCTGTAATATCCAATCTCTCTGTTTCTGGGTATGTGGAAAGAAAGCCTTCCCAAACTCATGGCTGACACCTAACGGTTTGGAGTCCGAGTGGCGCACACGCAATATTATGGTAACAGTTTCCATCATCACAGATCGCCTGTAAACGCTTATTCCACCTCTAATTGCAGCCTGCTCCTTTCATCCACAAAGCAATCATTGGGGAAGCTAAGGAGGTCAGTCATACTTTCCATGCCTTGCTTAACATGGTTAACCAATTGGGTGCCAGGTGGAAGAATAGCGCTTTGTTCAGACAAGGTGTTAATCCTCTTTGTCAATAGGTGCGTGAGGAACTGGTTCAGAGGCTGTGAAAGGTTTTCCTCCACTGCCACGTAATTCTACTGATCTGAGTAACGCTTGACATCTGTTCGATGCTTTCAAAGGATCCCCCAAGGTGGGTGAGATTCAGAGGGTAGACACCATTCACTAACTATGGAGAGTTTAGTCAGACAGACAGAGCTGGGGCCGGGAGTTTCATGCAGTCATAAAGGCTTCATATCTCGCATATCACTGTGATCGCCTGTCTCCAGGCAAACGTTGCTGTCCCAGTAAACACCAGTATGTTTAGAGAAACAAAAAATTTTAAAATGTAAAAAAACAAAAAAAAGACCGATACAAAAGGTAAAAAAAAACCACCCTATTCTGAATGCTACAATCCTGAGAACTCAAATTCCAAAA